CGTACTCGGACCTGAGATTGTGTAAGAGACGACTGAAGAGATCAAAAGGATCCCAGATAAGACGTGTTTTCAGAGTTACGATAGTATCTGGTGTTGGCCGAGCTTAAGGTCTCGGAAACACCCACTATGTTCTGTCTATCTGTATCAGAGTGGCGCAGCGGAAGCATGGAGAAAGTAGTATGCTAGGCTGTTTTACCGCTGTCGCTTGTGGGAATTGCATGATGTGTTCATGTGTCCACGCTGAGGAAGTATATTGATTCAGATGGATAGTGTGCAAGTGAGGAATGATTTGATTGTTGAGGCATTTCCAGTTCAGGTTGATGGACGAGAAGCAACTTCGAGGAAAAAGGATTCTTTGGTAGAGGTAATTTGGAAGATTAGGATGCGAAAGTCGTATCTGGAGTTGGTTGAATCGAGGTAATTTCGAGGACGAAATTATTTTAACTAGGGGAGAGTTGTAACGCCCGTTTCATTTCGATTAAATTTAATTGTGATTTTTGTTGTATCTCGTTGTGTCGTAGTCGTACGAGGATGTCGGGAAAATTCTGGTTTTGTCGGAAAACTTCGAAAAATCATATCTCTTGATCCGTAAGTCAGATTTGACCCCTGTTCGAAGCGTTAGAAAGATAAAGAGATGTTCTATCTAGAAAAAAATTGAAAAAAATTTAATTCTTCTGATATGATGACCGTCATGGACTTGCCACGACCGTCACGACCGTGACGCTCATCATGGACTTGCCACGACCGTCATAGTAACGAAATTCAGTTAAATGCAGAATTTGGACGTGGCTGAGAGTGGGTAGAAAAAATATATTCTCATATACTCTTTTACCCTCAATTACGCCATTTGGGGAAAGAAAAGACTGGAAAGAGAGGTTACGCACTGAGGAAAGTTGAGAGCAAAGAATCAACCACCGGCGAATTTGGAGGATTTCTGCAGAAAAGTCACCGTAGAGCGGAAGCGGAACTGGAGAGCGTGGAGTTGACCTTAATTCTAAGGTAAGGGTGTGGTTAAATTCTATAACCGGGAGTATGATCGAATTCATGTAGGAATCGAGTCATAGGTATAGCTTTCGTTAATCGATAAATGTTAAGGAAAAAGTTTCCCTAATGGGACCAGATTTCTATGTAGGAATGAATGTGTTATGTAGTTATTAGTGCGATGCTCTAAGGTTTTTCTTATGGGCAAATACGTAGAACGAATATGCTATACGGTTATTCGTACAACGCTCTAATGATTTTCCCTAATTGGCCAAAAAGGACAGTTACCTGGTTGTGATTGATTTGTAATTAATTATGTGAGAAGATGCCGTAATGTTGTTATTACGATAAGATGTTAAAGATTAATTGTTGAACTGATGTTGATGTTATTCCTGTATAGGAATAGTCGTTTTGTATGAACACTTTGAGTTCCTAATTGTTGGTACGATGTTGTAATGTTCCTTTACATGAACAGTCGTAAATGTTGAAATTATGTTGTTATTGTTCCCGTATGTGAACGGGTAGAAAGTGATGGTTGTATGAGTGGTATGATGTTATGATGCTCTGTTATGGACATTCTGGTTGTAGGCGTAATGCCCTGTTATATGGTTGCTATAGTTGTGTTGTAGTCCATAATAGATGCATTTCATGGCATAACATTTGGCCTGGATTGGCGACGGTTAAGCCTGTATTGGCGTTATTTGGAGTGTTGGCTCCTAGATGGATTCGGGGTGTTGGCCCTGTCCCGAGTTTTGGAGTGTTGGCTCCTAGATGGGTTCGGGGTGTTGGCCCTGTCCCGAGTTTTGGAGTGTTGGCTCCTAGATGGGTTCGGGGTGTTGGCCCTGTCCCGAATTTTGGAGTGTTGGCTCCTTAATGGTACCACATGCATATGCACAGTTGAGTCGCATGAAGTCGCATAATTACTCTAGTTGTATGTTAATGTTGTTTATGTGAGATATGGATTACCCGCAGTTGTTGTCGGTGATGTTTATGATTTCGAAGCCTATAATGCTGTGATGAGTTTCCAGCATGTTTTCTATCATTATTTATGTTATATTATTGATATCTCACCCTTTTCCGTTGTATGTTACCTCCTCTGGTGGTAATTTGCAGGTAGTCAGGAATAGAGCGTAGTTCCCGTTAAGGTGTCGTTGGTCGCTCTGATACGTAGCACTCTTGGGGGGATGGACGATTGTTGTTATTATTTTAGTCGATGTTATTGTTGATCTAACTTGTTACGATGTTTTTATTAAATTGTTTTAAGAGAACATGTTGTATACTTTATCGAACTTCCACCGGAAGTAATGACGAGTTGTTTTATGATTAAATGGTTAAGTAATGCATTGGTGATTGTTCATCCAATTTCGTGCTACGTATGATATTTGCAAGTTGTTGCATAATGATTGTTGTCTGGCAGGTTGAAGTGTAACATCTCTGATATGAGGGATTTTGCCCGTGTGACGACCGTCACAGGCTCATGACGACCGTCATGCAGTCAATGTTTGCGCTGCTGCGCTTTGTTTGCTATATGAATTGTTGTTTTTTTTTCTGTTATCCGCAAGTTTAGATTTGGGGTGTTACATGCACGATTAGATTGAGTTGACGGGGGATTGATTTATTACGATGTTGGTTCATTTTTTAGGCGAGGTTGAATTGATTTTAGTGATATTGATTTTAAGGGGATTGATTTGTGAGAAGTTATGGGATATTAATTCGTTTTTAGTTTAATTATATTTATGAGAAAGTGTATTATATTTGTGGTGAGATTGGTTAAAAGTTGTAATTTAGTTTTATGTGACTTGATTTGTAAGGAAAGCGTTACATTAATTTAAATTATAAGTTGATTGGTTTTAATAAAAAAAATTTGGTTATTACCAAATAAAAGTTAATTTTAAACAAAATGTTATCATTATAAATTAAATAGGTTATGAGATAGGTTTTTTTAAAAAGCAAATAGTTTTAATTATAAAAAATATATATAAAAGAAAGTTAATTAATAAGTAAATAAGTTAAAAAGGTTATAAAAGGTTTATTAATTGTTTTTTAATTAAAAAAAGCTGATCATAATAAGGATTGATAAAATTGAGTTAATTATTATATTAATCTGAAGAAGGTTTACTAATTAAAACTAAATTAAGATTAATTAAATTAATTTTAATAAAATATTTAGTTGGTTTAAAAAAAAAGATTAGAAAAGATTAATAGGTTGGTTGATTAATAAAATAAAGTAAAGGACTTAGTTAAGTTAAAACAGGTTGATTGAAGATTTTAAAGGGTTAATTATGAGTTAGGAGGGTTAAGCACCGATTAGTGGAGGGTTAATTAGGGTTACTGGGTTGATTAAGTGGAGGCGGACGGATCTAGTGTGTCGGGTGTAGCGGGTTATCGTGGGCAGCGGTATGTGGATCGTTTGATTACGTGGTAGGTGAGGTGTGTGGTGTTGAGCGAGGGTGCAGTGTAGCTACGGTGTGTGCAAGTGTACTGGATTACAAGATAAAACAAAATTACAAGCAAAAACCCTATTCCCCATTCGATCCCCTCCCCCTTTCCGTCAATCTTCCTCTTCCGCCGCTCTCTCTCCCTCTTCGTTCTTCTCACTTCGTTTCCGTTCTCTGTTCGTAACTATTCTTTCTCTTCCTCTTCGACCTCTTATGTTGATTCCCTGCAAAACAAACAACAAAACAAAGGAAACCCAATCGATTAATGTTAGCGAAAAAAGCAACGGTTTAATGGCTTTGTTTGTAGGGGGCTTCGTATATGGTTGAATTTGCGGATGGTTGAAAAGCAATGGTGGTTCGCGAGTTTGGGGATTCGCGGTGGTTGATGTTGGTGAGGGTGGTTCAACGGCGAAATGAGGTCGGAAATGGGGATTTCGATGAAGATGGAGCTTCGAGGTAAGTTTTCTTCCTTCGAAAATTTCTTTTAGGTTTTCGATTTGGGATTTGTGGAGTTCTGTATGGTTGTGAATCTTTGTGTGGTTTTTGTATCGTTGTGTGTTTTTTGTGTCCCTTTGTGGATTGCTTCTCCCTCCTTATATAGGTTGTATGGAGTTGAATCCCCTGATTAATAGCCATCAAAGTTTTATTCAAACTTCCCATTTTGGCCCGAACATGTCATGTTTTGTTTAGGAAAGAAAATATGACCTGGTGTTTCTGTTTACGATATGTTTATTATGAGTTTCCTTCTTGATAGAGTCATGCCTAGTCTTGTTTTAGAATATATTAAAACCTGTCTGGGATTTTAAGTTTGATATTCACCGTTGATTGTAGGTCCTTGGTCATGGAGAGTTTTGAAAGCTGTAATTGTTGAATTAATGTCATAAATTGATGGTATCCTTTATTGTTGCTGTAGGTTTAGTTCCAGATGAAGGGTGGACGAGGTTACCGATAAGGAGGGATTTGCATATGGTCCTGGGATCGTGGAGCTGCAGGAGTCGCTCTCTAGAGGTTCTTCCACAAACCGTTGGTCATGATGAATGGCTTGAAGCGGCCTGAGGTACACAACTCATGTCGTTCATCTATTTCTGTTACAATTTCCTTCTAGAGTTCTGCGGTATGAATTAACTTGTTGTGCTGGTTTACCAGCAGACTATTGGCAAAAAGGTGCGCAACATCATTTCCGTTCGAAGTAGGGTGGCCAATTGGAAATGAGTTGTTTTGTTGTGTTGACGTTATTGATTTCGAGTTGCAGGCTGACTTGTGGCTTTGTATTTTGCTCTGATTTTTTTCAGGTACTTGCCCTTTGTGTGAAGGTGGTTGTAATACCTCTATGTTTTAAAGTTCCTTCAGTCTACCCAATGGAAGCTTGATGAGAAGATTATGAAGACCACGACAAAGCAAATCTAAAAGAGATTGGTCACAAAGGTCCTAAAGGTAAGTATCTCTGGGGTTTTTTATCTCAGGGGAGAGGGTGGTTTTACAAACAATTCATTATATAGTCGCGCTCCATATCATTGGGAAAAATTTGCCTGAGCAAAACCTATTGCATTGTACCATGCCTGTATAGTAGCGAGCCTAACGTCATTGTTTTCTTCTGTAGAGTTCATTCCTCAGTGAGTATCTTATTACATGATCCTGCTCTACCACATCGGGGGATACTTCTTTGCAAATGTATCCAAGGGGCTCGAGAGTTGCCGGCCTAGTAGGAGCAAGAAGTTGATGAGCATCTGACAAGAGGAATCCTATCAACTCAGGCCATTTCTTGTGGGGTAATTCAATGCCAGCAATTTTTGCTATAACTTGAGATGTAGTTGATCGAGCATCTGGAGAAGGAAAAGATAGAGTCCTCAACAAAAATGCTTTAACGGGTGCTTTAAAAGTTGGGTCCATAGCCAGCCATCTTTGAACAAACTCAATCTTTTTGTGTTGTTCTTTGGAGTCCAAAGCGTTCTTGAGAATTAACTCTGCTAGCCTCCTCCTCTCAGAAGGCTTCTCATCATTTGCCAATTTTCCCGCAAGAGAAGACAAGACATTTGGAAGATTTTGCTCCTGGAACTGTTTCAAGTTATCTTCAGCTTGCTTCCTTAAAGAAGCACCCACTGCTTGAGCATTTAAGAGGATTTGTGTAACTTCCATAGCCATCTGAACGGGAGTAGTGTCGGTGATCGGAGATTGCCGGGAAAAAGTTTGGAGAATTGAAACTGAGTAGGGCGCGGCGACTCTGAAACCCCAGCAGGGAGAGTGTGGGAAAAAAACAGAGATGCCAATGTTAAACACAAGCAAATCCTCCAGATTCTTCACTGCCTGGCCTATTATCCATGCTGTCGAGAAAGAGTTGGCTGGTCGTAGAAACTGGTGCAGCAAGAGTACCGTAGCTGGAACTTGATGCGTAACGCCGGCGAGGTTTGTCACTACATTGTATTTGCCGTTGGTACGTCTTAACTTGTGTCAAAAAACATAAATATCTGTTGTGCTGACATGATGTATTCTCTTGCACCTGTTTGCGGTTTGGTTTGCAGGCACCATTAATTTCTCACTACATTTGCTGAGGCATAGTTTTAGTTGACATAAGTCTTAAAGGGGCATGATGAATCATGGCATCTTGAAGCTTGACTTATTTTTTAATTCTCTTACTGTTGAAATGACTATTTTCAAGTGTCTGCCCTGTTTGGAAATGCAGGTTGGGGACTTAGAGACGTTGTTGTTCGAGTCGTGTCAGCGAAAGTTGAAGCTGCTTATTAGGGCATTGTATATGAACTGAGGATCTCTCAATTTCTTGACTGAAGGCATTAGAACCTGATGATGGTGATTGCTTCGGTTGCACTTTTGTCAATGTTGTTGCACCCCAAAATTTGCTCAACCTTTTCTTGCCTGATTTATGTTTCATTGCATTTCATTTGCGTAGTCACATCATGTACATAGTTCAATCATTTGCATATCATAGCATAACATGCATCCAACAAGGGATCATGGTGTTTATCAAGAGAATAGCCTAGCAAGGTGTGTTATCCAAGATTGAGAAGTCATCCAAGCCCTCAAGAAGTGATTTGAAGTCTTGAGAAGTTTGAGTGTCTACATGTGGGTTTTGCTCCTATCCTGAGGAATATTGAGAACCATCAGTGGGATGAGAGGCATGGAATGTGAATTTGAGGTGTGTATGGATCTCTTGGGATGTCTAGAGGGCCTTATTGAAGCTAGGGCAAGTCATTGATTCAAGTGTGAGAGCCACAGTTGAGGTGCAGTCAATTAGGGTTTCATCTGGGCCAACCCTGATTCAATTGAGTAGTGGGAGAGCATCAAAGCCTACCTTGATGTCATGGGATGCATGAATTGGTATGTTGATACATGTGTGGTGTTGTGCCAAGATTTAGCAAAGAAAGATCAAGAAAGTGGGAAGTTGCTAAATTAGGGTTTTAGTGTAAAATCCCCTATTTAGTGTCTAACTTCAAAGCCACATAAGTAAAAATACAAGTTTCAAATGGATCTTTGGCCAACATGAAACTTTTAGAGCTTCTCAATACCTTTAATTTGAGTACTAGAATTCTTCAAGAAGATTTGTAGAACTCAAGTTATAGTCTTTGCAAATTACAGGTCACCAGAGGACACTGAAATTTATCTGTGAAAGTCACTTGACTTCCAAGCAACTTTTTCCCCTCAAGGAATTTTCAAATGGATTCTTGGCCAACATAAGAATTGTATATCTTGATCTTATCTTTCCATAGAGTACTAGAAGTCCTCAAGGGGATTTGTAGAACTCAAGTTATGATCTTGGCAATCCAGGGGTATTTTGGGCATTTGTGATTATAGGTCATTTTCAAGCATGTGCCAAAATCTTCATTTTCCACTCCTCAAATGGAAAATTGTTCAACTAGAAAGTTGCTCAAAATAGGGTTTTAACCTTTACCATGCATCAAGGAAGGTTTGAATTGGCTCATATGAGAAGTTGGTTTGAAATGGCTTTTTAATGAAGAATTTAAAATCATTTAAAAGGCAAAATTGTGATTTCTTGATTTCATGGCCAAACCAAGCAATGTTACATACCAATTTGATCAGAAAACATGTTTTAAAGATGATGGCATTGTTAATTTTGGCATTTGAGGTCATTTTCCAAGGTTTGCATTTGGTGACTTATGTTTGAAGTAACATATGCAAAACACCTCATGAGATCAAATACAAGGGATATGCACATCTAATTCAGTTCTAATTATCATGAGGAGAGAATTTCAGGTGAAATTGGGGATTGAAATAGAGCAAGGCACAAGTTGAGCATATGAGATTTTGGAGGAAAGTGAGAAATTGAATTTCTCATTGTGGTTGTTACAAAACTTTCTAGAGGTTTCTATTGGCTTCTATATAAGCATTGCATTGGGTTCAGGTAGTTTTTTTGGCAAGGATCAAGCAAGGAATCGTAGGGAGCTATTGAATTTTCTCACCTCCAACTCAGAATCGGTTTTGGAGTTGCAAGCCTATTCAAGCCAAATTGAAGGTCGAAGAAGCTCCATTGTGCATCACTGATCGTGTCTGAAGAGTCTTGGAGCTTGAATTGAGCATTTGATACCTCTGTTGATCCAATTTTTCCAGGTATGTAAACCTTCAAATTCCTCATGATCTAGGAAGAATTGGATAGGATCTTGCATGTGGTTAAGGCCTAGGATGTATAAGGATCGTTTCTGGATAGGTTTGGGATCAATTAGAGACTAAATTAGGGTGATACCATTTTCTGTTGGAGCTTGTATCTCCTTGTTCTTGAAGCTTTAATGGTGTTTGAATATTGAGAATTGATCAGGGAGAAGTGTAGTACACAATGGGATCATTAATTTTAGGGTTTGAGGTGATTCAAGATTTGTGATTTTTCTGCAACTACCATCGGGTTTGGAGTTGTAGTGAGAATTAATAAGAATGGAGGTCGTATTCATGATCAGGGTGAAAAACTAGGTGGAATAGGGTATCTGGTTGCAAAGATTGATGAGGTTTAGGGTTTGCTTCGCCGGAGAAGATGGTGGCGCCAAGCTCAGGCCACCGTCCTGTGCACTTCCCTCCCATATTTGAAATTTGGAGAAGATGAACCATACCCCTTAGATGAGGCTCTGACCATTGACCAAAACACAAATCCACGGCCACGATTGAAAGTCTGTTTATGAAGAGAAGCTGAGTTGATGAAACGCCTCGTTTCATTAATTCATGTTGAATGGGCTTAATGATTCGTTGCTAACCACACCCCATGTCTGGGCCCAATGAGAAAATACACATGGGTTTATTGCTATTTGACACAGGCATTTTCCTATTTTCCAATTGATTTTCTGATTTGTTTTAAGTTTGATTTGGGCTTAGGTCATATTGATATACGCACCCCCTTGGTTGGCCCAGTCTGGAGAAACAACTGATCTTAATTGCTAAACAACACGCCACTTTATTCATTTTCTTTCTATTTTCTTTTATTTTCATATTTTTCACATAGTTAGAAATTAATTCACTATAAATAGAAAAATAACTCATTTTAAGCTAGATTTTTTTTCCCTAACTCCTTAAAAAATATAGAATTTTATAGGATTGAAAAATGTTTACTTCATGCATTTTTTATTTTGTTTGCATTTTTTGTATTTTAATTGGTTTTATTTTTAATTTGTTTGACATGTGTTTTTGCCGATTTTATTATGGATGATTGGTGATGAATTTTGAGTTGATTCATTTTGGGATAGTTAGCTTAGATATGCATGTACCCATAGTAATATTTTCATATTTTTGTGAGAGAATTTTAGGCTATTTTGAGCATTGGACATTAGGTGGTTTAGAATTAGGGTTTTAAGTTGATACCTTTAGGTTTAGGGCATAGTTTAGGGTCCAAATGAATGGTTAACCCCCTGGATTTTGTATGAGAGATGCATAAGAGGTTTAGGGACCCTTAGTAATTTTTGTAGGATTTTATAATCACTTTTGGTATTTTTTTATTAGAATTAGTTTTAGGACTAACTTCTAGATGTTTCTAGTGAACTAACTTGCCTAGTTTGATTCAATAGTTCCCCTTAGATTAGGGTGGTGTTGCTTTTGAGCTTGGGTGATCATGAAGACCATTTGAAGATGCTTTAGAGAGCTTGAAGGAGCTTGGATGTGAAGATTCTCTCATCTGTTGGAGTGCTTGTCAGGAGCTTAGGAGAACTAGGGTTTTTTAGGAAGAACATCAGAGTAGTTCTATTTGTTTCTTCAAACATGGAGTATCTTGTCCATCCCCATTCAATCCAATGACATAAAGTCCTTTTAAAGAAGTCACGTCTCTCCTTAGGAGGGATGAATGGCATGCTTTGAGAGTAGAACTTTGAGGATGCCAGTCTCTCATAATGTTAAATTCTCGGTGACTTCCTTTGGTTGTCATTGAGCTTCTTAACATTCCAGCTTGATTTTGATTGAATGAGTCTCCCTTGGAGGTGCTTGTTGAAGCTTGGTGAAGAGAAAGTTTAGTTCTTGTTGAAGCTTATTGCAGATGAAGTTTGTGCTGGTTGAAGCCTGTTGCTTGTTGAAGTTAGGGTTTGCTGCTTGTTGAAGCTGTCTACTGGTTGAAGTTTGTTGAAACTTGGTGCTTGTTGAAGATTGAAAGTTGTTGAAACTTGAAGATGGGGTCTATTCATGAAGATGAAGGTTGTTGTTGTCAACTTTCTGCTGTTTAATCAACTTGTTGCTGTCAGAGCTGCTGTTTGTGTTGTTTGCTGTGGGAGTTTGGTGCTGCTGCTTAGGCTGCCTCCTTTGTTGGGTTTTGTTTTTCTGTATTGTTTGTTGGCTTGTATAGCTTTCCCCCTAGGCTTGAAGTGAATGTTGTTTCACTTTGCCTGTTGTATTGCTGCATTGCATGCATTTTACTGTATTTGCTTGCTTTCTTTTCTGTTTATCCCCTAGGATCTCTGATTTCCTCTGTGCAGGAGGGAATTATGACAGACATTAGGATTCTTATCCATGCATGACAACATTAGGTTAGTTTTATTCCCCTTTCAACCCTAGGCTTTTTAGAGCGTCTTTCTCTTCCCATCTCAAAACAACTCAAAAATACAGTAATAAGGTTAATCGATATCGTACGTTACGAGCCTTAAGCTATTTGAGAAAGGGTTGCTGGAGAGCTTCTTTCCAGTAATCTGGCTGCTTAGTGTGGCACC